GAGGAAAAGGAAGCCGTCAGCTAAAGTGAACGAGGGCGCCAACACGGGGGCACTGGATGACGACGAGGATCCAGAGGCCAAGAAACGGCGGGTAAGAGATTGCACACAAGCGATTTATTCTCGGGGCTAGACAGCATGTTTTTTTTCTTGTTAGATGTCGAAAAATCTCACGTGTTAAATGCACAACCATCTCTCTTGAAAACACATCACTTCACAAGAGTGTAGAATAGGGAGGATGTGTCGATTTTGCGACGTCTCTGTATCCATTGTTTGTTGCATTTTGTATGTCATGGCAAGCTTACATTTACAAAACATTGAAGTTTACAACTATAATAATGACAAAAGTGGATTCCACCGCCCTTGTGACTCCATTGCCTGCCATGTGGTAAACAACAGGGTGTGAAAGGTGGTGCGGCCGACCCAAAGCCTTCGTCTGGGAATCAAAAGAAGAAGCAGCACTCGTCCCCTGAAACCACAGACGACGACGAAACGATGGACACAGGTGGGGGGGAAGAGAGTGAAGGTGGTAGCGACGCAAACGAGGGTGGCAGCGATGATGATGGCGAGATCAGCAGCGCTGAGACAGAGAGTGGTTTCTTGGCTCCACAGTGGCGTTGGGACGGTAGCACCCAATTGGGGGACCATCTGGCCAAACCAGTCTCGCCAGAAATGCGGGAACATGAGAAATGGTCCAGGTGTGAAATCAAAGACCGTAAAGCTACGTCCGACGGAACTTGGGCCAAAGCTGGTGGGGAAGCGGGAAAAAGCGCCGGGACCCACGCCATTTCAGCCATTAAGTTGGAGGACCTCGTATTGGCTGGGTTGACGGAGAATAAGGCTCATCTCGAAATCGTGTAGGACGAAGTCTACTTCAACGTCGGCACGAAGGGGTTCAAGGAGTCGTACAACATGGTGAGCAAAGTGAATCCTGGTGACATTGGGATCATCATGGGCGAAACTAGGGTGAAGATGGACGGCGTCCATTACACGGTGGTTTCGGTTGAGGATGGTCTATACAGTCTTGCAAAAGATGGGGGCGCTGCTTCGAAGGAGCTTGGTCAGTGGGAGGTTCTGGAGAATCGGATCCACGACGGCCAAGGTCACGCGACACTCGAAGAGGACCAACGGAAATTTGCCATCAGCCTCATCTTGCAGTACGGGAACATGTGGTTGACCATGGTCCCCTATCTCAACCACGGACAAGCTGCTATCCCCGAGGGGGAAGGCAGAGTGCAGGTTTCGAACATGACTTACAAGATGACGGACGTGTCCGGGGAGGGGCTCGCTGCACGCCACGAGGACGTCATGACCGCGAGGTCTTTGACGAAGGCCGCTCTAAAAAAACTGAAGATGGTGGACGCGATCGACGGGCTACGTTTCCCGGGTCTCGCCCAAGAGGGAGACGACGATCTACGAACATTTGCGGAGAGGGAAGGGTCTCTGGGTGAGCTCAATGGCTTGCAGAAGTTGCTGGGTGACAAGAGCGGTCTGGACAAGAAGATACTGCTGAACATCAGGTCCCGCTACCCCCCTGGCATGAAACCCACCGGAGACTTCAAGGCGGTGATCAACCACATGTTACGCGTGCAACAGTATGCATACCGCCTGGGTCGCCCGGCCAGCATCCACGAGGGTTACCATCCGCTCTGCGACAAAGAAGTCACGGCACTAAGCAAATTTTTCCGTGGCTGGGAGGAAGACGACGACGACAGCGGGCAATGTCTGGGCACTTCGTCGACCAGTGAAAACATGTCGTGGGCGACGCGTTTCGCGGTGCGGCGGTCGAGCATGATTTACCCGGATTTATTTCCGGCCTCGTTGGAGATAGAGTCGCGTGACACGGAGAAGCATGGCTCGGTCGTTGACAGCTCGAAGCACGTTAATGTGTACACGAAGACCAGAAAGGCTAAGCACGTCATCAAGTGGATTTTGCAGAACGGAGGGGTTTGCGACAACATGGACAAAAAAATTGACACAGCCGTGGCGATTTTTGAGCTGACGAAATCAACGGTAACGGATGCGCGGGCCAAAAAGAAGGATTATGACGACACCACGACCGGAAGTCAGGGAGACTCCAACACACTGAAGAAGGGCAAATTGCCCCTCTTGCTCCTTGATCCGTTGAAGAGCGAGGAATGCTTGCGACTCATGACGGAGGCCTTGACCAAGAACGGTTGGGGTTACTTGCGGGGGCAAATCGACTTAATCGATCCGATGGCATGGGGGAAGAACGGTTGGTGCTGGGAGATTGTCGTGGATGGGTTCAAGGACGCCACCGACAAGTCTAATCCTCCTGCAACTGGCCATGCTCACTTCGGTGGCCGGAACGGGAAGGAAAAGAAACGGATCGATCGCATGGTGGAAAAGCTGAAGGATGCCGGTGTGGAGCTACGAGACTTCGAGGCTGCATGGGGAGCGACATCGGTCTTGAGCGCTTACAACGGGGCGTGTCTTCGTGACCAGTTTCATCGGTTTCTGAAGAAGAGGACAGCCCACATCCGATCTGAGAACAAGGTTACCGGGCGTCGTGGCCTCGGCGACGGGAGGAACGTCGACCGCGTGACGATGTGGCCACCGGGAAAAGGCAAAACCGGGAAATGCAAAGAGCGTGTGTTTGACCCGCTCTGCAGCGAGTGGCTGACGGTGCTGCTCGTCATTGGATGGGCGTTCTACGACAAGGAGGGTGTCGTCCTGGAAGACGAGATGGGAATCCCCAACTCCAATGGGAAGATGAAGCTGAAAGGATCATTCGACGTCGTGATGAAGAAGGTGGGGAGCACGTTCTTGGGCGTGGAGAATTTGACCCTGCACAACTTGAGGACGGTGGTTTCCTCGCTGGCGGTGAAGTATTTCTATGGGAAGGGCTACAACCTGAACGACGCACCTCTCCTTCAACTGGCGGAGTCCATGGACACGGGTGTCAAGGTATGTTGAACAAAGGATTTTCTGGAGTGATGTGAACGAATTCTAATTCAATTTGAAGCTAAATTCGATTACCGTGACGAAGTGAACTGATTCTTTCGGCGTTTTTTGTGCACGGTCGATTCCAGATGCTGGTTGGGCCATACAACGACGCCGTTCTTGGACCACTCCAACACGGACACCTGAAAAACGAGAAAGATGCAGACGTGTCGCTCGGGATCCAGGAGTTGGTTAGCTACTTCGCGGACCTAGAAAGGAAAGGGATCCGTGTTACCGGGGAAGTTACCGGGGGGACGTCAGACGAAGTTCAGTTCATCAAGACCATGGGGCTGTCACAAGACTTCAAGGAGTTCATGGCGAAGAAGAAGAGGGAGGGGGACGAGGGAGGAGCCGCAGCGTCTAGCGGCAGCGCGACGTCGAAGAAACATCTGCAAACAGAGGATCCCGGGTGTCTTCCACCACGGGCGAAGAAGGCGAGAACAGGGGAAACTTACGTCACGGTGAGTTTGAAACTAAAGAAGAGCTGGGTTACTCAAAAAGCGGTGCTGTGTTACCCTGTATTTCCCGGTCTTCTGTCACAAATGTGTAACCTGATCACGCCAATTTTGACAACATTCATGCAGGCCACAATGATGTCGGATGAGACAGTTTCATCGAAGATCGAGGGCGAAATGCGCCTCATCTTGGAGTGCATTAAGACGGCGCTGAAGCGTGCCCGCGAGCGACAGATGGTGTTGGGAACCGGGACAAAGGATTCTGTATATCGCTACTTGAGCGACAAACATAATCGCAATGGGAAGTTTGGCGTGGTTCGTAGGCTGGCCAGGGACGACGCCGAATTTGTGACAGACGGTGGTAATGTTCTGAGGGAGTGGGACTGCATCCAGAAGAACAAGAAGAAGAAATTCAACGGATTCATTGAGAAGTTCTTTGGCGGGGGTGTGGCATGGGTGTGGTGGAGCGATGAGGCTACGGAGTAGAGAGTCGAAATCGTCTTGGCAGAGCAGGAGGAAACGTCGGCGGGTACAGCAAGCAGACTGGGTTGTTTGTTTTCCTCGGTGCACAGGGTGGATGCTGCGTATGAGGTTGACCTATAGGTTAGATGAGTTGATGGTACCGTGGCGTCGACTCTTAAGCGCTTTCGAACTCGCCCGGATTGGTTTCCCAACACGGTTTTTAATGAAAGGATTCGTGCAGCAGTCGCGGTGAAACTCGGAAATCGAGAAGTCTTTTTTCGAGCATTTCACGTCACCGCACTTTGTCAAACAATCGCTGTAGGGGATTTCTCTGCTTGATGTTGTGACGTGTTCGTATTAATATTATAGTCACTTTCACACAACCACCAACATGGCTTCTCTCAGTGACGCTCTCTCGCCCGATGGCGCACAGGACCATAACCCTAACCCCAAAATCGAGTCAAACAAAGTTAATGAGAAGGATGTCAGGGGTGCGCTTGCTCGCCACACCCGAGGTATGTCTTATTTCCACCCCGCTGGCGTCCACGCATACGAAAACCGAAGCTCATCACCAGGCTTAATCGCCCGTTTCGCGACCACATGGCAAGCGTACCACACATTGTACTCAACCCCTCCTGTTGAAAAATACCAATCTGGCACACAAGCTTCACGCAGGTCCAACAGAACAGACACGTCACCGTCCAAACTCGCGTGGTTCATGGCCCTAATGTACCCCGCCTTGACGTCCTCGTGACACGCGTCTAAAATTCCCTCTACCGTCGATCCAAAGTCGATAAGCGCCGCGCTTTCGCCGTCCTTGTGAGCCACGTGTACGTAGTCGTTGTATTTATCCGGCGTGTACCCTTGCTCCTTCCCGCAATCGGGTAAAACAGCAACAAAGACGTCGCAGCCCGCTTCTGCGTGAAGCGTACTGAAGAGCCCGTGGCCATGCGCATTAGAGGGTGCAACCCTCACGCAGTCCAGTCGGAACGTCGTGACATTCCGATAGTACAGGACCTGTTCCAGGCGGGGCGTTGTTAGACAATTTTTCAGAATTTTCTATAATATTAATACTGTGAAAGCTTTTCGCACAAAGAACAAACAAAACACATTGGAGCACACTCAAAAAAGGATCAAGCGATCCTTCGCATTCGACCTGATCACGAAACACATTTCTCACCGTCGGGCGGCGTCGCTCCCTCTGTTGCACGAGCTTCATGCACTCTCGCACGAGGCGCACCCGTTTCCCGTCCCCGCCCCCCCCCCGAGCCGTCTCCCTGCAAAGGACCTCGGTGTCCTTTTTCGCTCGCTTGGCTTGACTGATGGCTCTGGTCGCTCTACGCCTCTCCTGTCGATCGACCACGCGAAAGATTAGTGCGTGGATCATTGCCGTCGAAACACTGGAGCAGATGTGCGTATCAGATGAAGGTGTGTCTGACTTCTACATCTTAATCCTTACGTGACTACAAGCCGATTCAGCTCCGTTCTCAGCTCCGATCACTTTACGTGCCGAAGGATCGCCGCTGTGTCTCGGCTAAAGTTGACTACATCTAGCGCCGCTATTTAGTATATGCGTGCCGTATGCTCTGTCCAAGGATGAGGTGGAGAAGATGTGCCATACCAACAGATACGCTTGCACAGTTTGCTTTCTGCGACAGGCATACACACCTGCTCAGAAACGACTGCTGTACAGCAGTCTAGACTATTTCTCTCCGCATAGCTGCTACTGCTGTACACCATGTACTCCTGTTCGTCACCCATACATATACTGCGTCCCCATCCATGTGAGCCATGATTCATGTGTGTACACGCGTGCTTGGAAGATCTTTGACCACAGGGTTAATATGGTCCACACGGGCATGCACACCTGCTCAGAAACTACTGCTGTACAGCAGTCTAGACTATATATGCGCGTGCCGTATGCTCTGTCCAAGGATGAGGTGGAGAAGATGTGCCAACAGATACTTTGCACAGTTTGCTTTCTGCGACAGGCATGCACACCTGCTCAGAAACTACTGCTGTACAGCAGTCTAGACTATTTCTCTCCGCATAGCTGCT